TTGTCGTCTTTGTTTGGGCAGTCTCTGTTGTAATGGTTGCCTGAACATGTGTTACACATTATTTTCCTTCCGTTTTCTTGATTAGGTATATGAGAGGTGTCTTCGTTTGTTTTTCCGGTATTCTCGTTGTTTAACGTATAACAACTTGCCGCATTGTGTCCAAAGCCATAACAGGCATAACATCGTTTTGGTACCGCGTGTGGCAGAACTCTCAGGTATTGATACCCCACTTTCAAGCGCTCTTCCTTGCAGAGTAGTTTTAGGAGTTCAATGTCTGTTTTGACTATCACATTCTTAGCATTTGGGTTCCGAATGTTTTGTTCAGATTTGAAAAATTGTAATCTTTTTTGTAGGTCCTCGCGTTTGAACTTGTTGAACACAGTTTCATTCTGGTCAATTAGGGCATCTATGAAGTCCTGATCTTCCATTATTTTGTTGCATCCTTTGACTATCAAGAAGGGGTCCTGTATACGGGTATCAACTACCCTGAGTTCCTGATTTTGGGAAGATTTAACACCTTGCTCAATCTTTTTCTTGTCCTCGATTGTTGGGCAAATTAATCGAACCTTATTTCTACCAGTTATTTGCATACGTTCAACTCCTGCTCTCATGCTTTTCAGGTCAATGTTTCGCATGACTGCCTTTCTTATGTCTTCTTGTTCTTCTCCAACAGGGGTACTTCGTATTATAGTGAGTGTTTTCTCAGTTGGGGGAACCTGCTGTCTCATATCTTGCCTAGATGAGCGTGGTGGTGCTCCTTGATTGTTTTGTCTTCGAGCGACTTGAGCGTATGAGGGAGCTTCGTCTCTTGGTGGGTTCCTCTTTGGTCTTTGATCTGCATTGGGGTGTCTTTGCCTACTTTGACCCGCCTGTTCTTCATAGGGGGGCTCCTTTGAGGGGAAGTGGTTGCAAGTAGGGGTACTTTGTGAAAATATTCGTAGCATTTCGTGGGTGGCATCCTCTTGTAAAGCTCTGGCTTGTTTTACCATAGCAGTTAATACCGACAGGTCATTTTCAATCGTTGCCTTTCTAATTTTTGGGAAGCTGACAACAGCATTTATCTCCGCCCGAATGGCTTGATCTTTTACCATGATTTTATTGACAAGCGCGTTAACTGACCTCATCCATTGTTCTATTCTAATGTTCCAGGAGGGGGGTACTTCCTCGATGATCGTTCCCATTCGGGGGGATCTTGGTTTTGGCGACGGGGTACTTCCTGGTGGTGTGCTGCCAAGTAGGTCGCTGACCATTTTATTGGCAAGGATTGTCTTATCTGCGTCAGATAGTAAGTCTTCTTGTTCACCTTCCTTGGATTCCGCATTACTATCTCCCTCGATGTCAGAGTATGCCTCTTGGTATTCATCATTGTCTCCAAAGCTGTTTTGCGGGGGGGGGGGGGACTTCGTTACGCTGTTTGTTGTTTGGATCACTTGTTAGACCGTTGGGTATACTGCCTCTGATAATACTTCCTATATTTGAGGTTGTACTTTGTAGGTGGGGGGGTTTTAGACCCGAACTCGTAGATTGTGGGGGTTGGCGTATAAGAGTTGCTCTAGTCGATCTCCCGCTAGAGGGAATACTCGCTTCTTTTTGGGGCGGCATCGTTGCCTAGGGCTACTGGCGGTTGCCTTTAGCAACACCAATAGAGGCACAGGATTTTTGCCACCAGGTGGCCTTCCAGTATTTTAGGGAGCTCAAAGGAGCGAAATTAGTTCGATTGAGTATCTTGAGTGAGGAAGTGGGGGTACTTTGAGTGAAGATGGGATGAGTGGTGTGAATGATGAGTTTTTGCTGATTTTTGATGTTTTTGATGAAAGTACAGCTACTTTTTGATCACACAATGTAAATTCTATGGGAAAATCAAGAAATAGGAGTACTACTTAGTGAGGGTGAGGGGTACTTTAAAGTAAGGTAGGGGGGTACTTCGAAGGGTGGTCGGGGAGCTATTGAAAATTCAACCGTTCTCATCAAAAGCTAGACGACAAGTGGGTTAGGTTAGGTTAGGTTAGGTTAGGTTTTTTTTTTTTTTTTTTTTTTTTTTTTTTTTGAAATTTGAAAGACCTTTATTTAGTTGACTTGAATTGAAGTGTCCCGGTACTACTGACCAGGTTTGACGTACATTTACGTGTTTGACGTGAAGTGACTTACATGACGTATTTTGTCTGATGTGACATTACATGATAAAAAGGTTTGATAGTCTTTAGACTTTACATTTTTGATATAAGTATTAGTTAAAAATTTAAAATGTGTTTGTTAACAAATGACTTGACGTGACCCGAGTGACGGCGAACAGTGTCTGACCCGTCATCATAGTCACCTCAAGTTTACAATAAGAAAATGAGTATAAAAATAAATATAAAAATAAGAATAAAAAAGTTGGTGTGATTCTTAGAATGAGGGTTTTGTGTCTTGTCTTGACGTGACGTTACTGTCTTGACGTGACTAAGATGGTGTGAATAATGTTACGGATGATTTTGGTTTGTTATTGAATTTTTATTTATTAAAGAGTTGTGCGATTTCTTCAGGGCGTGTTAGCACCTAATGTAATCGTTACGATAAAATTTGAAGTGTTAACAGTTTTAATTTGTTATAGAATAAATGGATTTGATTGGAATTTGAATTAGTATTTTGATTAAAGGAATGAGATATTTGATATCTGTGTTAAATTGATAATGAAAATGAATTCGAATTGATTATTAAAACTGAAAGTGAATAAAATCTTTTAAATGAATTGTGATTAATAATTCTAATGTTATTGGATTCCTTTTATGAATTGATTACCCTTTATATTTGTCAGTTGACTTGACTTGACTGACGCATGTGACTTGACTTGATGTGAGGGTATCTAGGAATCTTGACTTGAATTCGATTGTGAGCTCATGAGTTCTAAGGCTCTTCGCCTTCCCTCAGCTTTTTTGTCTGCAATTGCCTGCTCTTGAAGACGGGCCCTTTGTTCCTTTGGTAGTGGTGGATTCTCTTTCGTGTACTTGGTCCACTCTTCCATCTGCTTTAGCATCTCTTCCTTGTGAATGTAGACTACTGCCACTTGTGGTAGTGGTGGTGGGATTCTTGGGTGATAATTTCTGATATGATAATTCATATCCGTGGTTTCTGCAGGGCCAATTCTAAGGCAGCCCTCTACTGGGCATTTCTTCGCCTTGACCAGCTCGAGTCTTTTCATAATTTCCTCATTATGTGCCATAGCAGATGCTCGTCTTCGCTTCCTTATCTGGGCTGCTTTCTTGTTTATTATTTCTCTTTCTATCTCTTCAATTGTCTTCTCTTCCTTTTTGTCTGACGTGACGTGACCTGACCCAGTTGAAGTGCCTGCGACAGGTTCAACGTCTTTCTCATCTTTATCTGACTTTTTAGGTGTTGTATTGACTCGACTTGACTTTACTGACGTTTCTTGTTTGACTGCGCTTGAGGTCTGCATGTTGGCCTCTTTTTCCGACTGTATTTCACCTATGATAGCCTTGAGTATTTCTATCTGTTTATCTTTTTCTTTACCCTCTGAGACCAAATCGTTTATTTTCTTGTAATATTTCTCTTTTTCTTCATTAATTTTGTTGTCCAGGACTAGTAGATCTGTTCGTAGATCTTCTGCCTGAATTTCCGCATAGGCAGCTTTACTTTGCCAAACATGTTCGTGTTTGGCGAGGAAAACCAACCACTTAATTATGTGTGCCTCAAAGTGATTGCTTAGGAATTTTATCTGTTCCTCTCTTTCCATTTTTGACCATTTCTCGTTATGGATTTTTGAAAGCATGGGATTCATTGCGTATGTAGCCAGATAGTTGATGGATTGACTAGCCACTTTGGTTCTGCATAGTAATTCCTTGATCAGCACCTTGCGGACTATTTCGCTGTGACTTGACTCGTTTAGACTGACGTGACTGACGTCCGGTACTTTTTTGACGGTACCTGACGGTCCTTGCTCGTGTTCATCTTTTCTTGACGTTGACGGCTTTGTTGGTGTTGCAACTTTGTCTGTTGTGGATGGTCTTTGATTGGTCTCTTCTTGTAACAAATTAATGTTCTTTACTATCTGGTCAGATTCTTCATCCATCTGGAAATCTTCATCATCCGGATAAATATCAAAGAAATCTTTCTTGTCGCCCACATCGTCGAATAGGCCATCCTGTTCTTCAAAGAACCTGTTCTTTCTTTCGGTCATGATTACACTTCCTTGTATTTAGATACTTGGCGATGAGTTATGGTGATATTCACTTTGTGTTTAAAAAAAACTGAGTAAAATCAGGAACACTGAATGATGATTGTTTTTGTTATGATGGTGATGATGTGTGTGATGGCGATGGCAACAGGTGATAACAATAATTGAAAAATAATAACTGATTTAAAATAATAACAAGTAATTTGGAATTTTCTAAATGAGGTGACAAATGGTAATATTTGTTCTAATGATGATGATGGTAGAGCACAAAATGGCGAACTAAACTTTCTTCTTCTCTTTGCTCTTTCGCGGTTTGTTTGGTTCCCACAGTGAATGTGGCTCCCTCTATGTTGACCGGCCATTGTACCTTCTTCTAGGCAATGACAAATAAACAACAACACATGTGATCTGTTTTTTGGTTTTAATGACCTTTTATTAGTTAAACATGAAAACTTTTATTAATTGAATCATAATTAGTATGAAAATATTCTTTTAGATATTGATATTTGAACTTCGGGGTTGTTAGTTATTGAGATCAAGTGTTTCAAATTCGGTAAGTAGTGACCATTTTTTACTTGAATTGACTGGTTAGTTTTGATTTGACTTAATTGAAGTGACTGGAGCGACTTCTTTTAACGTGACTTGACTGTGGTGACGTTAGTGCGTCATTTGTTTGGTATTGCGTTGGGTTGGGAATGAGGAAGGTTCTGTTAGTGACTGTAACGAAAATACTATTGAATGAAATAAGAAAATAAGAAAATAGAAATGAAAAATGAAAAGTAATAGGTAAACTGAAGTTCGAAACATTATGAGTCCTAGACCTTTCTTAATCTTCCTCAGATGATGTAGAGATTTCTGAGTCTGAAGAATCCGATTCATCCTCTGATTCCTCAGAGTCCGAATCGTCATCAAAATCATTATCCGAGATCTCCACAATCTTGTTCTGTTTACGATCTTGCAACTGAATCTTTTCAATGATTCTTTGTCGAGTAGCTCTGTCCAGTGGTGGATGTTCCCTTGCATATTCCTTCCATTGCTGCTGTCTTGTCTCCAAGGTTGGCTCTGTTATATAAACAGTTCTTGCAAATAGGTTTTTACCATATGAGAAGGGATGGTAAGTGCGGTAGTGTCTTCCCATATTGTTAGACTCCGATCTCTCGATGAATGGGCATCTGTCTATTGGACACTCACGGCAGGTGATCTCGGCACTGTCGTACATCAAGCTTTTTAACTTGAGAGCCTCCTTCTTCTTCTTGGAGCTTGCACTCCTCTTTTCCTTTCGCTTCCCTTTTGCCTTTTTCTTGTCTTTTTTGGAGGAACCTTCTTTTCCCGATTTGGATTTCTTACTGGATTCTGCCTTCTCTTTGGTCTTTGAGCTTTCTTCACTCTTCTTTTTCTTGCTGGCTTTCGGTGTATCACAGATACCAGCTTCTTCCGTGGTCTGATTCTGTTCGGCATCTCGGTCGAAGTCTATAACCAAATCGCCTGACGTGACGCTAGGTTCCCTTCTTCTTTTGGATTGACTTGATTGACGTGACGTTGATGGATGTTGCAGTTCTCTTGACGTCGACGGACGTGGCTCTCTTGACATTGATGGACGTGATTCTCTTGACGTTGACTGACGTGAGTCTCTTGACTTGACTGGAGTCTCGTCACCAAATGGGTCTCTAAGGAGTGCATCATCTTCAGCATCCATTCGTGCCTTTAGTTTATCCATTTTAGCTTGGATGCTGGCCCTGCGGGACGATTGAAGGTCAATGTATGAATCCTTGTTTGGTTCAGATTGTCTTTTCTTACTGGCATCTTTTTGAGATGCTGATAATTGCTGTTCCCGTAGTTTAGCTATTTCCTTCACCCTCTCGGATAATTCAGCTTCCGCCTTATCTCTTTCATCCTGAATTCTTGCCAGTCTAGCCTTATGGGCTTCCAACAAGCCAGCCTTTGCTCTCAATGAGTTGCGTATTTCTGTCAATTTGGCGTCCATTTCTTTCTCCATTTCTTCCTTCTCTTTCTGCTTCTCCCTTATGCTATCACATAAGATCTCCACAGCATTTTCTTTTTCTTGGGCCAATTCTTTAGAGGCCTCGTTCGCTTTTACCCATCCTTTGATTGTGGCGCCAACCTCTGGAGAGCAAAATTCAGATACCTTCTCCGCTCTTTCTTCTTCTCCCAAATTTTGCCAGTCCGGAATGTCGATGAGCTTGCTTCTTCTTTCATGTGAGTTTTCAAGGAGGAGATGAAGTATCTTATACACCTCGCTCATTTCACTTCGCAAATTTTCAGTGACCATGGCTGCCACTTCGGGTGTAACTGCTGACGGTAATGCGTCATTGAACGTCAGGTCACTTCGGTTCAAGTCATTATCAGCGTCTCCTTCCGGGTTGGTCAAGTCAGACATGACTGGTGGCGTTGGGCTTCTGTCCATAGATGGTGAGGCAGGAGATGTTGTAATCGGTGTCTTTCTTGTATCTTTGGCTGGACTGTCTTTTTGTGGACGTTTTGATGATGAAGATGGGGTTGAATCACCACCTGAGTTTCTTGGAACTCTCTGACTTCGGTTAGCCATTCCATCCTGTTCCTCGGAATGAGGGTTTCTTTCACTTTCTTTGGTCTTATGACCAGTCACCTCTTTAGGGTCACTCATAATGTTTCACTTAGTTTATAGTACTTAATACTTGATGGAATTTTTTAGGAACTTTATGGTGTTTTAAGGATAGGATTATGATGGCGAAGGTATATAAAATTTGGAATTCAGAATGTTCTTAGAACGATTTCAAATAGTTTGGAACAAAGTAATTTTCTTTAACTGAAATACGTGGTGGTGAGTTAAGGGTGAACTTTAACACTAGCTTCTTATAATAATGGCGGGTATCTTTCCCTTTCTAGAAGGGTTGCTAGGGTTGCTAAGAAACGGAAGAAGCTGGTGGCACGTTCTTCCGTTTCCAGGATAGTTTCTAGCGCGGGATTTTCAATGATATCAATATCTAAATATTCGTTTCTGGTTTGTTTAAATGCTTTGCATTTCATGATTATATGAATATTATCTTCTTCTTCATTACACAGATCACATATGTCATTATTAATTTGTCTTACCTTTTTCCTATAGCATTTGTTTGGGCCATGGATTGTTAGCATGTTGATGGACTTTGGATTACGATGAATTAAGTGTCTGACATTGGCCAACTTGACATACGTCGGTATGACTTGACGTAACCGACTTGACGTGTTGGTCCGATACGACGTGACGTGACTGCTTATGAGTTGTTCCTTTATGATACGTCTGATGCGGTTTCTTGGGATGGCTTCATAATCTGTGTTGCCAGTCCTTCTTCTTGATGCCTTTTTCGCTTCTATGTCTACCATTTCATTGCCTGCTACACCCATGTTTCTGCTTATCACTTTGAATTTGATTTCGTTTCTCAATTCCTTATTCGTGGCGATCAGTTCTCTGATTTGGCAAATCAGTGTATTTCTGCATTTGATGTTTTTGCAAGCCGTCATAAAGGATAGGGAATCGGTTACTATTTCTATCTTTTCCTCTGTATATTTGCTTTCACAATATTCTAGGGATTTTACTATCGCCATAAGCTCTGCTTGATAGCTTGTACAAAAGTTCGCTAATGTAACTTGTTTGCGATGTATCAGCATGTTATTTCTTGTTATCATGTAAGCTGCTCCGGTGCCGTTGGTATTCGCGGCTCCGTCCGTATAAATTGTGATTATATCCTCTTGTTGCTGGTATTCTTCAACCTTTTCGAAAAGATCTGGTTCATTCATGGCTTTGTTGTGCTTTCTTGACGTCAACCAGTCTGCTGACGGCTCAATCTGACGGTCCGGGACTGACGTGACGTAATCTGGTATGCCTTGTGTGACGGACACGAAGCATCTTTTCCTTTGCTGAGCTATTGATGTTATCGGTGTTACCCCCGAGATGTATAACAAGTCCTCGCTTTTTATGGTTCTGTATGGCCTGAGGATTCTTATGAGAAAGTTCCTTTCCAGTCTTTGGAGTGTACGGTTTATAATTCTGCTTTCTTCATCATACCAGATTGGGCTTGCATATAGCAGGTTCGGGATTACGACTCTTGTGTAGATATCGAGTAGTATCTTGACTGTTGTGCCAAACTTCTTAGAAGATGCTCTCAGAATGGCGTTAAATTGTTTGCTGGCTTTCTCTTTTATTAATGCTATATGGTCTATCCAGTTTATTTTGTTGTTCCAGATAACTCCTAGGATTCTCATCTGCCTTACAATAGGGATCTTTTCGTTTCCCATCTTGAATTCGTGGTTTTGCTTGCAATTGATAAGCATTATTTCCGATTTTGGTGCACTAAATTCAAGCTTTTGATCAATGCTCCATGTCTCCGCAATCTGAATAGCTTTTTGAATTTTAGCATCGATGTCCTCTTCCTTTTGTACCGCAATATGAATAATTAAATCATCTGCGTATGCTTGTGCATCGATTCCTTCTCGTTCCAGATTATCAAGTAGTATATTAATGATTAGATTCCATAGGATCGGCGATATCGGTGACCCTTGTGTGCAGCCTTTATTGACGTGACGTGACGTTGTTGACGTGAGCCATGCGATCTTGACCTAACGTTGGTCTAGATAACTTGCCATAAGTTTCGTGTATGGCCATCTGTTTTTGTCTAGTTCCTTGAGAATGCTCTTCCATTGTACATTATCAAATGCTCCCTTGATGTCCAATCCAATGAGTGCCTGACATTTCTTGTTTCGTAGATCATTCAGTTTTATGCGTTGATGGATGGCCTGTAAGGCCTTTTCTGTCGATTTGTCTGGCAGGAAGCCAAATTGGTTATCTTTAATGCCTTTGTGTGTTAGGAGATGTTCGATAAGCCTGTCTGTCAAAATTTTCTCCAGGCCTTTGCTGAAAACTGGTAACAAGCCAATCGGCCTTATTGTTTCAATAAAATTCCCGGTTTTGCCTGGTTTCGGTATCGGTTTCACGATAGCAATCTTCCACCTCAAAGGCCAGTAGTCTAATTTGATGCAGGAGTCGTAAATATTTCTTAATACTTCAGGTTGGTTTTGACTGATGATTGTACACGCTTTACTATTCAGGCCATCATGTCCCGGTGCTTTCTTTTGTGAAATTGATGAAAATATGGTTGTTATGTTGGAGGGTTCGACTCCCTCTTTCCCTGTTGTTGGCATAAGTGTAGATGACTGACTTTCTATTGGTGACTTTGACGATCCTGGGAAGAATTTCTCCGCTATCATTTCGGTCAGTTCGTCCGTGGTTACAGATTCATCGATCCCTCTCATGTTGTATTTGCCCCTTTCTTTTATGATGTCATTGACCTTAGTCCATGCGTTGTCGTCATTTATTTTGCTCATATATTGTTCCCATTGCGATTCCTTTTCTTTCATCAGCGTTTCTTTCAATTCATGATTTATCATAACTATTCTGATCCAAATTTGTCTTTTCCTCACTGTTCCTGCATTTCTCCATTTTCTTTTCATTTTCTTCATTTCTTCATTAAGTTTCCTTAACGTTTCGCTTTTCCTAATTGTGTCTTTTATTGTAATCTTTTTCGAAGATTCTTGTAGTACTTTCTTGCTCTCCATTTCTAGTGTTTCTGTTGCTTCTTCGAGGTCTCTTTCATCCCTGATTCTTTTCTTGCCAAGCTTTTGGAAGATGTCGCTCTCTTTTATTCTTTCTTCGAATAGATTCCAATCCGTTATGATTTTCTCATAGACTGTTCTTTGATTTTCCAACTGTAAGGTTATGATAATTGGATGATGGTCGCTAGCTGGAATACCATCTTGAAGTACTGTGACTTCTTTGACGGTGTTGACGTGACTTGACGTGATGTATGCTGCATCGATGTTTGACGTGATGTGTCTCTCCCCTCGTTGTGTTTCGAAAGTTGGGGTTTCATCTTCTAGTATTGGATGGTAATTTTGGTTGATCAGCAATTGATTGATCTTTTTGCCTCGCTTATTCTCTTCCGTAGATCCCCAGTTAGGGTGACGAGCATTAAAGTCACCTGCTATTATATGAACTAGATTTTTGTCTGTTGGTATGTGTTGAAGAATCTCCTTCTCAAGTTCCATAAATTTCTTTTCCTTTGCCCAGTATAAACTAGTTACTACAATGTTGGTTTTTCCTATCATTACACATCCGGTTGCTAAATCGGGCGTACTTTCATTTATGTCTTTTGTTATCAGGCCATTCTTATTTTTTGTAAATAATATACTTCTTGTTTTGTTTTTCCTCTGATCTGAATTGAGGATCTCCATGTTCGGTTCTGTTATTAGGCCAACATCAATGGACAGTTTCTCCATTAGCTGAGTTGCTTGGTGCCATGCATTCTTCTTCTTCGCTGTATTTGCTACCATAATTTTGAATTCTTTCTCTTTTGATATGTTTTGTTGCATAACGATTAGTATGCGGTTCTCTCATTTATGCGTTTGAGCATTTCTTGGTAAATTGGGCATGAGGTGGCGAAGGTAGCATGGTTTATTGGCTCATTTCTTTTTAATTGTTTGTTCCGTTTGTCGCAATTTGTGCATCTGAAGTGTTCTGCTGTCTTTGTGCATTGCTTGATTTCATGACTTTCTGAGCATTTGGGACACGCTCTTTCAGAAGTACAATTGGCCGCATTGTGGCCGAAACCGTTGCATTTGAAGCATTGCGATATATGGACATAGTTTTGTACATAATATCTGTTCCATTTTATGCCTATCTTCTGCTCGTTCATAAGTTTACGGTGGGTGGCTGTAGGAACTCTGACGACTATGTTGCATGTATTTGGATTTCGTGTTCTTGTTCTTTTGATAATCCTTATGGTTTCTGAAGTGACTTGACTTGACGGGCCTGACTGTTGTTGACGGCTTGTGCTTGACGTTTGTTGTGTGTTGCTTGCTTGAGGTTGAGAGGCCTGAACATCTGTTGCTTGAACACCTGTTGCTTTGCCTCTTTGTATATCAGCTGGGTGTATGTTATGTATGGCTTGTAGTATTTTTTCATTCTCAACGTCTTTGTAAACATTTCTTATAATTATATGTGGCTGCGAAAGTTTCATGTTTTCCGTCGTTGCTTCTGGTATTCTCGTTGAAATCATAGCGGCTAAAGATTTTCTATCCCTTTCTGTCTCGCAGGCAATGGCTACAACGTTGTTGGATAAGTGTCTTGGTCTGTGGGCCCTAATGTTTTCATCTTGAGGATCCACTTTTTCCATCGCTTGCTTTATTTTCTCTCTTGTTTCACTATCCGGGAATCTAACTACCAAATTTACTTTGTTCTTCTGTATGGGTTTCATTCTGGCCTTCTCTGCATATGTTGGTGCTGTCTTTAAGGTTGGAAATTCCTTTGTTGTGGCTTGATAGGCTTGTGCTGGCTTTGTATTAATAAAGGCCTGCAGCAATTCATTGTTTTTCCTCATACCCTCCTCTACTCGTCTCATTCTTCTTTCTAAATCCGTTTCATTTTCGTTGGTGTTTGACGTGCTCATA